GTACCTATAGTTTAACTAAGACTTAAAACTTTAAGTAAAGTTTATTAAGTTAATTTTAGGGAATGTTGTGGAGTGAAAGAAGATGTAGTGTCGAGGATTGAGAAAGGTATGTTGAGATGGTTTGGACATATAGAGAGGATGAACGAAAGGAGATAGATGAAACAAGTATACAAGACGAGTGTGGATGGGAGAGTTGGAAGGGGTCGACCTCAGCGAACGTACCTCAATCAGATTGAGGACGTTTTTAGCAAAGGCCAGCTTAGGAGTACCCTAATTAAGTTAATAACAATGTACCTACCTATATAGTTTAAGTTTAAAAAATTTGGCTCTCAAAAGAAATTTCAATCATTGTACTGTTGATATTTGGCTCTGTTGACTAATGAGTTTGCCAACCACTGGCATAGGCTAACTTCCACCACACTCTATCGGTCAAAGCGGTAACGGGTCAGCCCAGTTCAAGGGGACACAGACCCCACTCTCATCAGGAAGAATAGAATTTGTGGCCATCTTAAGTCTCCCACAAATAGTAAAATAGGTAAATGGTTGTGTACTCAGACACTGGGACAGGGCACAGCAATAAAAAGAGGAACTACTAGGACTTGAGGAGAGTGACTCCCACAGACCTAATGCTGAGTGAAATATCAGGCACAATAATACATTCTGTGATATTCCATTTATACGAAGTTTTATTTGCATAACCAATCCAGGGAAATAGAGGTCAGAATGGTGGATCCCCGCGAGGGCGTACTTACTGGGATGGGGCCTGGGGAAGCCTTCAAGATGCTGGAAGTGTTCAACGTCTTGATCTGGATGGCAATACACAGGTATGTACATATGCAAAAATTCACCAAACAACACACTTAAGTTCGTGTTTTTTCCATATGTAAAGTATAAATACATTTAAACATCTAGAAGAAAATAAAAATCCTACAGGAAAGAGGAGACAGTTGCTGGGAGGTTGGGTAAGGGGTTGGTTGGTGAGAGCAGAGGACATGGAATTGCTCTTTTGGTTTTCTCATTGGAAACAAGTAGCAAGTCAGTTGCTGATAAAGAGGAGAGGAAGGAGAAGTGGAGGACTGGCTCAGCCAGTGTGGCTCAGTGGTTGAGCATTGACCTGCGAACCAGGAGATCATGGTTTGATTCCCGGTCAGGGCACATGCCTGGGGTGGCGGACTGGATCCCCAGTGTGGGGCATGCAGGAGGCAGCCGATCAATGATTCTCTCTCATCATTGATGTTTCTATCTCTCTCTCCCTCTCCCTCTCTCTTTCTCTCTGAGATCAATAAAAAATATATTTTAAAAAAGAAGTGGAGCCCTAACTGGTTTGGCTCAGTGGATAGAGTGTCAGCCTGTGGACTGAAGAGTCCCAGGTTCGATTCCAGTCAAGGGCATGTACCTTGGTTGCGGGCACATCCCCAGTAGGGGGTGTGCCGGAGGCAGCTGATCGATGTTTCTCTCTCATCAATGTTTCTAACTCTCTATCCCTCTCCCTTCCTCTCTGTAAAAAAATCAATAAAATATATTTAAAAATAAAAATAAAAAAGAAGTGGAGGACTGATGAGAAGAAACAGTGGAAAAGAACAGCCCGGAATGGACATGTAGGAGGATTGCTGCAGTATTAAGTAATAAACACCCCATGGAAGCATTTGGTCATTCATTTAAAGTGAGGCAAGTCGGCATGGCACCCATTTCACTGAATGCAGGGAGGTAGATTTCACTCCAGAGTGGGTTTTGCTAGGAAAGAACAGTGGACGGCGGCAGGGACAAGGGTGCTGAGGATAAATGCAAGGGAGTAAGACCCAGAAGATGAGGGTCCATGGTGAGGAGGAAAGCTGACAAATTGTTGGAGTCGCAGCATTAGAGGAAAGGAGCTGAAACTATAGCAAGTGAGGGGAGGAGGAAGATTGAATTGGAGGTTACAGAGGAGACGGAGCTATTGGCAACAACACTGTCTAAACATGGCGTGGGTGGCTGAGACTGTGTATTGGTCAGGCTAACTGCTGTAACAAACAACCCCTAAATCTTAGTGGTGGGCACACAAAGTTAACCTCTTTTTTTAAAAAAATATATTTGTATTTATTTCAGAGAGGAAGGGAGAGGAAGAGACAGATAGAAACATCAATGAAGAGAAAGAATCATTGATTGGCTGCCTCCTGCACACACTGGGGATCGAGCCCGCAACCCAGGCATGTGCCCTGACCTCCTGGTTCATAGGTCAATGCTCAACCACAAAGCCACATCAGCCAGGCAAGTTTTACCTCTTGCTCACACCACAGCCCCAGGTTTGTCCGTGGGTGAGGGTGAAAGTCGGTTCCCTGCTGTCATTCAGGGTCCTGACATTACCTAACAAGGGTCTGCTGCCAGACACACACGCAAACCAACGCTGAGAGAAGAAAGGGCTTTTATTCGCGAGTCCACTGGCAAGGAGACAGGAGGCAAGACCCAAATCTGTCTTCCCAGTCCAGGGCTCAGGGCGGGGTTTTAAGGGGTAGCAGTTAAGGCTTTACAAGGGTTACTCATGGGGTGTATCCAAGGTGTAAACTTTGGTTCTGGGTCTTCTCGGAAACCTAGGACCGGTGTGAGCTGGTTTTGCAGGGACACTGGGCTCCTCCATGGCAGCTCAGACTCTAGAGCCACACTCTCCAGTACTGAGCACTTGAAATGTGACTTGTGCAGCTAACAAGCAATTTAAAATTTTATTTATGCTATTGAAAATCTTGAAAGAATGTTTGGAACGACTTCGGTATGTGCATCTACTGTGTGGAGTTATATACAGAACAAGTATTTTTGATGAAAACTTAGCATCAGAATTGATTTGTGCCAGAAATGTAGATGACATACCAAATTTTAAAAACTTCGTATAAAAAAGGAGTCTACAATACCCCTTTAATCATTTTTATCCTCATTACATGTTGAAATGATAATATTTTTGATATATTAGGTTAAAGAAAATGTATTATTAAAATTAAGTTTATCTGTTTCGTTTTGTGTTTTTTTAAAGCAGCTACTAGAAAATTTAAAAGTACATGTGGTCTGAATTGTTTCCACAGAATAGCGCTGTTCCAGGGCCTGGGAACCCTCGGCTGGATCCCTCCATCTGGCTGGCAGGTAATGAATGAGCGAGAGCAGGCGGAGGGCTGCACAGCAGCTTCCATATTCCTTTGCATAGAAGTCAGTCCCGACGTCACACCTAAGGACAAAGGAGGGGAGACACAGTCTGCCCAGAAGGGGAGCAAACAGACCTGGTGAGCAACAAGCTGGCTTCTGGTACAGGTGGGCAAGATCACCAAAAAGAGGTGGTTGAGGTGCAGGTATTGGCAAGATCGTCCGTATGGGTTTGAAATGGCCATGCGTTTGGAAAGAGTGACAGGGAACACAAATCTTCAAGACTTTCAGTGTTTACAGTTGATTCAACAACAAGGAATATTTAGTAAATAGAGTCTAGTAATATGTGCTTCAAAGCTAAGAGCTTTTGAGGAGAGAAATAATGAGCTTGAAGCGGCAATCAGACACCTCCCCACCCCCAGGCCCAGTGCTCAGAAGTGTGTAGCGGGCAGGAAAAAATCCCTCCTGAAAGGTTCTGTGTGTGACCTTAAGCAAGTTAGCTGACCTTTCTGTTTGAGGTTTCCTTATCTCAAAAGAGATAATAATAATACTTATCTTATAGGGTTGTTGTTATTAAAGAGGAAATCACTGGCCCAAAATGATGTCACTTGTGCTAAAAACCTATGAGACCAAACCTCGATTTACTATCTGATCTAATGGCAGTTCCAACCTCTCCCAGAAATGCAATTTTTTAAAATACATTTTTATTTATTTCAGAGAAGAAGGAAGAGGGAGAAAGGGATAAAAACTTCAATGATGAGAGAGAATCATGCCCCCTGGGGATCAAGCCCACAACCCAGGCATGAGCCCTGACCGGGAATCAAACCCTAACCTCCTGGTTCTTAGGTTGATGCTCAACCACTGAGCCACACCGGCCGGGCCAGAAACGTAATCTTAATTAACCAGTCTGGAATTTCTTGGTCAGGCACTAGTAAGGTAATCTGTCATGTTTGTGGCCCTCCCTATCTCCCTCCCCACCCCATAAAAAGAAGAGGCAATCTGCTGCATTAAAAAAAAAAAATCCTTGCTGTTCTCTTTCCCCCAAAAGAAGTTGTCCAGCTCTAAAAATACTCCTTTCTTTTGTTAACAGCTCCCTTGCCCCACCCTTCTTCCTATAAAACCTTCCATTTTGTAAAGCCCTTGGAGCGCCCATCTGATGGGATGCTGCCCAATTCACCAATTGCTTGACCAAGCCAATCAGGTCTTCGCACTCAGTTGAATTTTGTTTTTCTCGCGGTTAAGTGTTTAGCATGTAGAACTGACTATTAAATGGTTTCCTAGCATTGTACTAACGCTGCCCCGTTCTCCTTTGTTTATATCTTCTCCCTTTGTGAATTTACTTCCCTTTGTGTGTGCCCTGATCTGGCCTGGCCCTCAGATAAATGAAAGCAATCTCTTACTTCTGCCCTGCTCTCGGACATGATTCATAGCAGAAAAAAAAAATCACCAGTTCTCTAGAAATGTACGTTGCCATTCGGCAGAAAGGGTCAGCTTTGATGTGAAATTGACTTAATCTTAGGCTGTAGTTTGAGAAAGGAGCGCATATTCTGTGAGTCCTCTTTTATGATATAATTATTCTTCTACGAATAGAATAGAAGTCTCCTTTTCAAGAGGAAAAAAGCTTTATGTGTGCAGAGGGAAGTCCTGGGAAGAGGGTGTGGTTACTTTCCCCATCACAGTTGAAAAGACACAGACTTCTTTCCTGTTGCCTAATAAGGACTCGTACATAAATGCCAAAATGAGGAGGGGTGTTGGGCGGTCCTTCGCATGTCCCATTTGTTCCACCCCATTTCCAAGCAGGGCCCGGAGAATCGACGGCTTCCATTGATGTTGTCAGAATAAGATGCCTGAGCAGAGCCTCCTGGACACAGGAATTAAATCAGTGCTCTGTGTTGCTGTTTGCTTTCCAGAGGGGAGATCCCACATATCACTTTTCCAATCTCACACCAGAAACTAAAGAGCTCTACCGACCTTCCCCTAAAATGTGACTGTGCCAGGGGACCGCTGCCTAGGAAAAGAGGTAGGTGATTCTTCTGCTCCCACACGACTCCTTAAGAATGACACGGCCCAGCCTGTCAGTTACAAAGCGTCATGCCGTGCCTTCATTGTTAAACGTCTCCCATCAGTGACTTGGTCTGGGAGAGGGGGAATCCGACCCTTTGTGATGGTTTTGTTTGTTTTTACCACCACATCCGGCCTGCCCAGGCAGGTGCTCTGCGGAGCAGTGGGTGGATCTGCCCGGCCTGTTTCATCCATCCTCACTGCTCCACACCAGGAAGCCACAGGCAAGTCCCCATTTCAGAAATCTGAATTGAATCCCAAAGTTCCGAGCGTTTCCAGCACAAGAAACATTTTCTTTCAAATATATTTTTATTGATATCAGAGAGGAAGGGAAAGGGGGAGAGAGAGAGAGAAACGTCAATGATGAGAGAGAATCATTGATCAGCTGCCTTCTGCACACCCACTACTGGGGATCGAGCTCACAACCCAGGCATGTGCCCTGACTGGGAATTGAACCATGACCTCCTGGTTCATAGGTCGATGTTCAACCACTGAGCCACACCGGCCGGGCAAGAAACATTTTTAACTTGTTAATTTTTCGGAAGTTTCATGGTGCTGCATGGTGCTTCATAGCACCTCCGCGTGTCACGGGTGAGGGAGTTGAGCCGTGGAGCAGTGTCTTTCCTAAGGCCACGTGATGATAAAGAGGGGGCGGAGGCTGGGGCACACTGGCCCTCTGAGGTCAAGTTCCGTCCTCTGCACAATGCCACCCTCTCTTGTGATTAAAAACTAAACCCAACCCAACTAAAGTTAAGGATGACTTCCTCATTTTGCTAATTTTATCACAATCACGCACCCACTGTGTCTACAGGGCGGCAGGCACAGCCAGCAGCAAGTGGCTCCTGAGTCCTCCCAGAGACGGTCTCAGATGTGTGAAACCTGAGGCCCTGCATGCGACTTCCTCATTTTGCTAATTTTATCACACACCCACTTTGTCTACTAGGCGGCAGGCACAGCCACCAGCAAGTGGCTCCTGAGTCCTCCCAGAGACGGTCTCAGATGTGTGAAACCTGAGGCCCTGCATGGCTGACACAAATGGCAAAAAACTGCACACAACGCTCTGAACCTGTTTTTTCACTTAATATCTCCTCAATGATCCCTTTATATTAGTTATTAGGAACTTATCATGGGAGGGGGTAGATTTGGGGGCCTAACCGTTAAGCACTAATATTGAAGAACCTGGCTGTCAATTCTTCCCGTTTATGCTGAAAACCTCATAGTAGTTTCCTATTATTTATAAAATCCCATCTAAATTTTTAGCCAAGAATTCCAGGGCCTACCTAGCCGGGTCCTAACCCACCATTCAAAGTTTTATTTCCCTGAATCCTGAATAAAACGGTCTGCTCTCTGCACTGGTGCTTCCCACCCTCTCAACCCATAACTTCAGACAATGAGCTTCCTCCCAGACTTCAGGGCCTCCGTCCAATCCCACCTCTTCAGGTGAACGCCCCCTGACCGCTACAGCTAGAAGGCATCCCTCCCTCTTCGGAATCTCAGTGGTACTGAGAGTTTGATACCTGACATTTATTGTCCCATCACCTTAGCTCATCAGTCAGTATTTGTTAACCAATGGATTGTAAATCACTGGATGGATGGAACTAGTTCTTTATTTCACCAGCACAATGTATGTGTTTGAAGGGGATTTGATTGACTGATGACTGACTCTCCCTCTGGGGTTTGCTGTTTGCATTCCCGAGATGAGTCTGTCACTCCTGGCTCAGGAGCAAGAGCTGTGAACACAGCTTGGCCGTCTGGGTATATCTGATAAACCACGGTGCCTCGGTGCCACCAGGTGATTCTTTCTGAGAGCGAATGGTGCCTCTTGGTGACAGCCATGCACGGTGCACCTGTCTCAGGAGAATGGAGACCTGTGGCTGTTGTCTTTATTTTTATTTATTTATTATTTACTTGTTCATTCATTTTTAAATGTTCCCAATCTGCCATGTTAACATCTCTCATTCACATCCTTTCCAGTGTCTTGGCCTTTTAATTCCTTATCATCCAGCTATTTGATGATTTTTTTTTTTGGAAGATGATTTCTATATTTCACCCATCTGTTTTAGTTATGCTCAATAGAAGAGTTTTTCTGAAATATTTAGTCCACCAATTTAAAAAAACTAAAGTCATGATATTGGTCCCTAAAGTGTCAACAAGCAGGGTGATGCAGCTACAGTAGCAGTGTCTTATATCTTAAATGTGGTGCTCCTATAAGTCTTTTAAATTATTACAATATTAAATACAGCATGAAAATAATTATGATAACTAAAAAGGTCTCCAGATATTGCCAAGATACCCCCGAGGAGCAAAATATCTCCTGTTTGAAGCCATCTTTCCATGGATTTGCTGAATCCAGAAATAAAAGCAAAACTAGATAATGGAGGGGTCAGGCTGTCCCCACCTTCATCTTGTGGTCATCTATTCCATCAGCATCGTAATGGTGAGGTAGTCAGTTATTATGTGTCTTCTGATGTGATACAAGATGACATACACATCATCATGGATATAGTAGTCTAGCCAAAATGTTTAACTTGAATCTAACCAAATGTTTATATCTAACACAAATGAAATATATAGGGGATACAAGGATGCCGGGCTGACCCGCAGACCCTGAGCAATGGAAGAACAGATTGCACTGACACACGTTTTTTGTGAAAGAGAGGGTTAAGGGACTGTTTTACTTTAGAAGTCAAAAGCAGTCCTGTTCACCTGCCTTCTTAGGCTTTTATTGTCACAACAGCTTGAACTAAAATTAACCTCTAGATACAATTAGCAGGGTAAGTATCCTTGAGAAAGTATATGCTTCTGTAAGGTCGGGTCTTTAAAGACTAAACATAGAGATTCCAGTAAAACACCCCGGGAGATCGGACTTGTTTGGAAAAGTCAAGGTAGGGGCTGCCGCCTTGGGCAAGTTCCCCCCAGAGGCCCCCCGCCTTTCGGAGAATCCTCCTACAGACATCCCAACCAAGTTCCGTGCTTCCCCACACAGGGACAACCTGAGCAAACAGACATTCCAACTAAGTTCCGTGCTTCCCCACACAGGGACAACCTGAGCAACAACAGTGAGAATCAAATAAATCTAAAAGGTAGCACATTCTTTTGAACAAATGGCCTGGGCTCTTCAATAAATCACTATAATGAGAAAAGAAACTGTTCTAGGTTAAAAGTTTAAAAACATAAGTAATGGAATGTGTGGTTCTGGATTGGTTTGTGGTTTGTACAAACCAGCTGTAAAGGACATTTGGGGGCCAAATGAAGAAGTTTGAATATGTAGTATGTATTAGATAGTATTAAGAAATCATCATTAGTTTTGTTAGATGTACTAGTAAAATGTCTTTTGGGGCTGCATAGGGGGCTGTTCTTATTCTTTAGAAATGCATACTAAACTATTTAAGGAGTTTAGAACAGCCAGGCTTTATTTCTCACTCACACTGCATCATCGTCCCAGATCAGCTGCCACTGTGCTCGCCATCTTCAGTCTGGTACGCAGGCTGCAGGGGCAGTCCTGTCTAGGACATTGCTGCAGAAGGAAAATAGAGACAATGGAACCACACTGTGACTCTTAATATGTGGCTGTTATTTCCACTCATTATATTGGCTCAAGCAAGTCCCCTGGCCAAGCCCACAATGGAGTAAAGCGGTATTATTCTCCCACAGGGTGGGGCAGCAGAATTATTTAGATATCAGTGACAATGAGAACAAAGCATCTTTAACTCTGAGTCCTAACAAAATTGTTTCTCAAGTAGCAAATTATAATGTTAAATCCAGATGTAAGAAAGGTTGAAAATAAATGAACTTAGCTTTCAATTCTAGAAACTAGAAAAGCAATAAACCAAAGAAGATAAAAGGATGGGATTAACAAACCAAAAGTAGATAGTATGAAATAGAAACCCAAAAACAATAGACTTAAATTCTGTTTTTACAAGATCAAAATATAGAAAGCTTTTGGCAAGTGTGATCCAGAAAAGAAAGAAAAAAGAAATAAACAATAACATTAGAACTGAAAACAGATGTAGGGATTTAAAAAAAAAATTTTTTTTAATGCTATGTACAACTTTATTTCAATTAGTTTAAAAATCCAGATCATGGGGAGTGACTTTCTAGAAAAGTATAAGTTACCCAAATTGACTCAAGAAATAGAAAGCTGGCCCTAGCTGGTTTGGCTCAATGGATAGAGCGTCCACCTGCGGACTAAAGGGTCCCGGGTTCGATTCCGGTCAGGGGCACATGCCAGGGTTGCAGGCTCGATCCCCAGTAGGGGGCGTGCAGGAGGCAGCCAATCAATGATTCTCTTTAAGCATTGATGTTTTCCTCTCTCCCTCTCCCTTTCTCTCTGAAAT